TCTGCAGCTGGGGGTTCAGGGTTTAGTGTTTAGGGTTTAGGGTTTAGGGTTTAGGGTTTAGGGTTTAGGGTTTAGGGTTTAGGGTTTAGGGTTTAGGCATGTCTAGGCGGTTTAAATTTACGGTGACGTTTTTTAAATAAGTGGAGGGCGGCCAACCAGCAACGGCCAGGGGGGCAGTATAAAAGACCAGTTTAAATCCGCATGTTTTCGTGTTTATGCACTAGCCCCCTCCAGCCAAGCCCCCCTCCAGCCCCCCCTCCAGCCAAACCCAACCCCACCTCCAGGCTCCACAAACCCCCTCTCCACCCCCTTCAGCCAAGCCCCCCAGCCAACACCCCACCCCCAGCCAACCGCCCACCCCCTCTCCAGCCAACCCCCACCCCTCTCCACCCTTGCCCCTCCCGCCAACACCCTCAAACCGCCCTCTCTCCAAACAAACCGCCCCCTTCCACCCCCCCTCCAACCCATCTCCAGCCAACCCACCCCCCCTCTCTCCCTCCAGCCAACCCCTCCAACCCCAGCCGGTTTCCACCAGCCAACCCCCTCCAGCCAACCGCCTCCAGCTCCCCCCCCAGCCCCCCCCAAAACGCCTAGCCAAGCCCCCCGGCACAGCCAACCGCCCAGCCAACACCCCCCAACACCCTCCAGCCAAAGCCCCCTCCAGCCAACACCCCCCCTCCAGCACCCCTCCCGGTTTTTAGGGGGTGTTGGCTGGAGGCGGTTGGCTGGAGGGGGTTGGCTGGTGGAAACCGGCGGTGTTGGCTGGGGGGCTTGGCTAGGCGGGTGTTTTGGGGCTGGGGGGGGGGGTGTTGGCTGGAGGCGGTTGGCTCCAAACCCACCACCCCCAGAAAAACACCCTTTCAGCCACCCCCCTCCACCAAACCCCCTTCCAACCCCCCTTTCCAACCCTTCCAGCCAACACCCCCCTCCAACCCCTCAACCTCCCCAAGCCAACCATTCAACACTGAATTAAAAACACTGAATTGCATAAACTTTCCAGAACCCCAAGCCCGAAAACCTGGAGGGGGGAGGGGTGCTGGAGGTGGGGTTTGGTGGAAGGGGTGGGTGCTGGGTGGAGGTCAGTGGAGGTTGGCTGGCTGGAGGGGGGTGTTGGCTGGAGGGGGCTTTGGCTGGAGGGTGTTTTGGGGGGTGTTGGCTGGATGGGGGCGGTTGGCTGTGGAGGGGGGCTTGGCTAGGCGTTTGGGGGGGCTGGGGGGGGGAGGGGGTGTTGGCTGGAGGCTTGGGGGGGGGGGTGCTGGGTGGAGGTTGGCTGGCTGGAGGGGGGGGTGTTGGCTGGAGGGGGGGGGGAGGGCTGGGGGGGGGGCTGGGGGGGGGGGGGGTGTTGGCTGGAGGGGGGGGTGTTGGCTGGAGGGGGGCTTGGCGCGGGAAGGCTTGCTGGAGGGTCTATTTCCGGATGTTTAAAACGCTGGGCGGCCTGACGCCGCGCTCCACGGAGGTAGTATGAAATACCTGTTTGACTGTTTAGATGTCCGGGTATTTAAAAACAGGCACCGTAGGGTTTAGGGTTTCGGGTGAAAGGGCTCCGAAAGCCGTACTTCGAACCGCTTACCCAAAGAGGGACGCGAATTGAGAGAACTACTTAACCATGTTTGGGGGGGGGCTTCAGCCCCTTTTCTCGGTCCCCCCCCTGAGACAGAAGGCTTCGAATGAGAATGGGACCCCAGAAGGTGGCCATCATCTAGAACAATCCACCGCACCCTAGACCCTAAACCCTCAACCCTAGACCCCCAACCCTCAACCCTAGACCCTAAAAGCCTAAAGCCTAAACCCCAAACCCCAAACCCCAAACCCCAAACCCAAGTTCTTTGAAATCATAGCAGGATCATCATTTTCTGATGCTCTTATACTATTCCATCTAAACCCTAAACCCTAAACCCTAAACCCTAAACCCTAAACCCTAAACCCTAAACCCTAAACCCTAAACCCTAAACCCTAAACCCTAAACCCTAAACCCTAAACCCTAAACCCTAAACCCTAAACCCTAAACCCACACCCAGATCTATGGCGTCAAGCGGCTCTTGGGCCGGACCTGGGCGTGTCCGGACCTGGCCGAAGACCTCCGGCACCTGCCATTCCGGGCGCCCCGGCGTTTCGAGGTTTAGGGTTTAGGGTTTAGGGTTTAGGGTTTAGGGTTTAGGGTTTAGGGTTTAGGGTTTAGGGTTTAGGGTTTAGGGTTTAGAGTTGTGTTTGGCGAGACTCTGAGGAAGGTTTAGGGTTTATAGGGGTTGAGGGTTTAGGGCTTATGAGGTCTAGGGTCTGGGGTTTGGGGAGGTGACATAGTCCCCGTGTGCGGCCCCCTACCTCTTTTTGAAGTGTTCTGAAGTATGTGCCCCTTGTGTCGCAACAGGGGTTTAGGGTTTAGGGTTGATAAACCCTAAACCCTAAACCCGGAGCCCTAAACCCTAAACCCTCATGTAGTATATATGGGGTATATCAGGGTTTCCCAAGAAAGGACCCGGCGCCCGGCCCATACTAAGTAGACCCTGGGAGTTTAAGGTGGGTGCGGGGCTTCGGGATGTTAAGGGTGGTAAGCGTTAAGGATCCGGGGGGGGGGGGGGGGGGGGGGGGGCTCTGGCTGAAAGGTTTAGGGTTGAGGGTTCAGCGTTTAGGGTGGTTGCACGAACAACATGGAAACAACATGGAGTCCTCGCTGAAGTCTCACCTGTAGATTGGCCGCTAGGCTGTAATTTTGTAAAACACTAAGAAGTCAGCGTGTGGGCTTAGGGTTTAGGGTTTAGGGTTCAGGGTTTTAGGGTTCAGGGTTTAGGGTTTAGGCTCTAGGCTTTAGGCTTTAGGGTTTCGGGGTTATTGGGCTTGCAGGTGCGAAGCTTCAATTGCAGAGGCATCCTGTTACGTAGCTTCAACCCTAACCCCTAAACCCCTAAACCCCTAAACCCCCAAACCCCTAAACCCCTAAACCCCTAAACCCCTAAACCCCTAAACCCCTAAACTAAACCCCTAAACCCCTAAACCCCTAAACCCTAAACCCACAGGGCCTCAATCCATTGGTTTTGGTGTAACGCCCAGGCGTGCATCCGCCTGCACGCTCCTCCCATCATGAGGCAGACACATGCGAAGTAGGGTTCTTGAAGTGCTAACATCCCCAAAAGGACACCAATGCCATACACTCACCCAAAGCATGGAACCCTTAAATAGATTAGAGGGTTCTAACGGGAGCCTTAGGGAAGCTGAGGCAGCCTGAGGGAGTAGTGGGGAGCATTAGGAAACCCTAAACCCTAAACCCGAAACCCTAAACCCTAAACCCTAAACCCTATATCAAGAAGGTAATCGAGGGCAAGGGCCACTCTCCCCTCGTCATCCCTGTCCGGTGGGGCGACGAGGAGACGCCCATCTGCATTGGTTCAAGCCTTTCTGAGGAATCATTCGGATTTGGGGCTTTTGGCTTGGGGTTTAGGGTTTAGGGTTTAGGGTTTAGGGTTTAGGGTTTAGGGTTTAGGGTTTAGGGTTTAGGGTTTAGGGTTTAGGGTAGGTTGCGCGAAGAGCTCGCATCATGATAAAGGGTACAAGGACTTACCGAAGCTTGCTTTCACTGCAGGAGTGCAGGGGTGGCAGTGTTAGAAAGCAACCCTAAACCCTAAACCCTACACCCTAAACCCTAAACCCTAAACCCTAAACCCTAAACCCTAAACCCTAAACCCTAAACCCTAAACCCTAAACCCCAAACCCTAAACCCTAAACCCTAAACCCTAAAACCCAAACCCTAAACCCTAAACCCTAGTGATATGCATCGTGAAGCTCAGCCTCCCAATCCCTGAGTCCCAGCTCAAAAAGCCCTAAACCTAGGACCCTCCTAAACCCTAAACCCTATACCCTAAACCCTAAACCCTAAACCCCAGTGATACCTCTGCATGTTGTTTCTTTTCAAGGGGGTCCGGTTTCCCTTCGAAGGGTTTCCTAGAACCTATAGCTTGCTCGAGTCTGTGTCCAAGTCGCAGATGAGTTGCGGATGCCCGGAACCCCAAACCCAGACCCTTAGGGTTTGGGATTTAGGGCTTTAGGGTTTAGGGTTTAGGGTTTAGGGTTTAGGGGTGTAGGGTGTAGGGGTTTGGGGTTTAGGGGTTTACGGGTTTAGGGTTTCGGGTCTAGGGGTTTAGGGTTTGAGGGTTTCGTGTGTAGCGTTGCCCCCTCCAACGCCTGTGCGGCGGGAATCCCGCTTGCAGCCTAAAACCTAAACCCTAAACCCTAAACCCTAAACCCTAAACCCTAAACCCTAAACCCTAAACCCTGCATCAATGAGGAAGCTCCTGTCGCCGGAAGATGTTCTGGTGCTCATCCTGCGCAGCGTGGCTCCCGTATCCTTGTAGGGTTCTTAAGGGAGGGTTTAGGGTTTAGGGTTTAGGGTTTAGGGTTTAGGGTTTAGGGTTTAGGGTTTAGGGTTTAGGGTTTAGGGTTTAGGGTTTGGGGGGGAGGGGGGGCCTAATACTCGCCACCTATTCCCTAAGGCTCCCAAAGGCCTCCCTAAGGTTTCAGAGGTACCTACCCCCCATGAACCTCCCTCCCATAAGGCCGTAATCATATCTTGGCTCTGATGTAATTGGGGTAAACCCTACACCCTAAACCCTAAACCCTAAACCCTAAACGGCCCTAAACCCTAAACCCTAAACCCTAAACCCCAAACCCTAAACCCTAAACCCTAACGCTCGGGGGTTAGAGTCCGGGATTCAGCAGTGAGTGCTGAATCCTTGCCACTTCTCTACCACCTGTCTTCTAGGACCCAAAGTAGGGCCTTATTCCCTTCTTGAGGCTTTGGCTTGCAAAAGGGTTTAGGGTTTAGGGTTTAGGGTTTAGGGTTTAGGGTTTAGGGTTTAGGGTTTAGGGTGTAGGGGTTGGTTTGCGTATTGTCCTTGCCCTGTAGCCGCGGCCAGCGGTAAATTCACTTTTGAGTACCCATTTTTGGTTTCCAGTACGGCTGATGGCTAAGAGTCTTACATTTAGTTAGTTGGTCTCCCTTCTGAACCATGAGGCTGTGGGTTTATAGGGTTTAGGGTTTAGGGTTTAGGGTTTACGTAGGGTTTCGGGTTTAGGGTTTAGGGTTTAGGGTTTAGGGTTTAGGGTTTAGGGTTGTGGCAGTGTTGGAAGAACAGAGGTCTGAAACGCTAAACTCGAATAATATGCTTTGTACCTGTTCGGGCCCCTGTTTCAGTACGGCCCCTGTCGCTTTAGGGATCTTGGTGAGTTCCAGAACTGTTGCTTTCCAGAGTATCCTTAAGGGTCCCCTTTGCCTATATGTATACATGTAGACACATTCTCATCTGAATCTATATGTACGCGGGCCCTAAAGCTACTTTTTAGGAACCCCTTTAAGGCCCAAGTATATATCATATAGGTACCTGAAGCTACTTAAAAGGAATCCCCTTAAGGCCCAAGTATAGAGTATGTAGGTACATGGACCCTTAGGGTATCCCAAAGGTGAGATCAGGCGCACCGTTGTCACGTACACGGGCATCGAGGAAGACGAGGACCCAGTGCTACCGTAGCAGCACGGTGGCTTCATAGTCCCCAAGGTGTAGCACTGAACAACCCAAAGCCCTAAACCCTAAACCCTAAGCCCTAAACCCTAGATCCTAAACTAATCCCATCTAAACCCTAAGCCCTAAGCCCTAAGCCCTGAACCCTAAACCTAAACCCTAAGGTGTAGGGTTTAGGGTTTAGTGTGTAGGGTTGAGGGTGTGCAGGGTTGAGGCTAGGAACGGAAGCCTGAACCCCAAAAACCCTGCTAAACAGTACGTTTAGCACTCCAATACCTTGTGTTCCTCGACCACCACTCCCCCTAAACTGAGGTATCCAAGTCCTTTTCAAGTCGGCCCGTTTTCCCTTTATTCAGGGTCGGGGTTCCCATATTATCCCCTTAAAGCAAAAAAGGGTACCCTTTTTATTCCTAGGTTACCTCTGGGTCTAGTAGTGTCGTCCCTAGAAAGTAGCACCGAAGGTTTAGGGTTTAAGCTTTAGGGTTTAAATTGTTTCCGCTAGGAAGCCGGACAAGCATGTTTCACCTCTACCCCCGAAGCCCCTAAACCCTAAACCCTAAACCGTAAACCCTAAACCCTAACTCCTAAACCCGAAACCCTAAACCCTAAACCCAGATCACCCAAGCCAGGACATCGGCGCTGTTATCAGTGTCCCAGCCTCCTTCAACGACAAGCAGCGCCAGGTGATGGCTAGGATTTTGATGTGCTTACAAGTATAGGGTGAAAGGCAGCAGGCAAGGCAACTATGCTTAGAACCTTATTTGGGGTACTGATACCGTCACTTATGTATATGCACCCGTGGACCTCCAAGTACTATATGGTAGGTAACTCAAACTTTAAGTACTCCGTAGACCCTAAACCCTAAACCCTAAACCCTAAACCCACTTGCATACAGAATCATCAGAAATGCTGGCCACAGTGTGCGGAATCTCGTCGCTGAAACCTCGACCTCCTCAGAGGTTTTTGAAAGTGACCCTCAATGGCCCTTACCTCGGGTTTTCGGGTTTCGTGTTTGGGGTTTAGGGTTTCGGGTTTAGTGTTTGGGGTTTAGGGTTTCGGGTTTAGAGTTTAGGGGTTTCGGGTTTAGGGTTTAGGGCTTGGGGTTTAGGATCCCTAGATCCGTCTAAACCCCCTAGGCCGAAGCAGCGTCAGGTCACGAAGTTGGTGGCAGAAGCAGCAAATTTCAAAGTTTGCAGGACGAGGGTTTAGAGTTTAGGGTGTAGGGTTTGGGGTTTAGGGTTTAGGATTTAGGGGTTAGGGTTTAGGGTTGGGGAGGGGGGTGGGAGTAGGTGCAGGTGAAAAATGACTGCTTGTTGAGTACAAAATCTTTGCTTTGTTTCTGGACCCTACTTGGTAGTTACACTTCTAACCCTGCTTACAACTACATGAACCTCCAAGTACACTCCTGTGAGGATCATCAACGAACCCAGTGCCGCTGCCATTGCTTTCGGCTTAGACAAGCTGCTTGGCCGTGCCAGTTGCCTTCTACCACTGCTGGGGAAGGACTTCTCTTCTTAGTAGCTGAGTAGGTAACCTTTACCCTTTTGGGGTATATATATATATATGTATGCTAATATATATATATATATATAGATATATACATATATATATATATGCATTCATATATATGTATATATATATATATATCCCAGCGTGTGTCATACGGTCCCGAGCATCTCGTGTGTGTCCTTCGGACTCTTGGGCCCTACATAATCCCTTAAAGGGTATATAGGGGGATATAGGGTACCTCATTCCCTCATTCCCTATTAACCAACAGTAAGTTTCAGAGAGGCTGAAATGTTCCCTCTTAGGGTTTAGGTGCCCCCTAGCATGGGTTTTCTGTGCTCAGCAGTCGTGAGCGAAACCCTCATCGACCCGAAACCCTAAACCCTCACAGACCCTAAACCCGAAACCCGAAACCCTAACCCTGAACCCAGAACCCTAAACCCTAAAGCCTGGACCTTATCGAACCCAAATCCACATTCAGCCCAGGCAGTACCCCGAGCGTAATGTGGTCATCATCGCCGCTTGACAAAGAATGTCATACTGTGCCGGTCTCTGTGGAGGTCCTAGTACGACATGAAGCAAATGGGCCGCGGGTGGGTGCTATTTGCTCAAGAACCCCCCCAAAAAAAACACATAAAGAGTTTTACTTAGATGGGTAATACGGATGATTATCTTTGTTTTTTTGTTTGTTCTTTGTGTGCAGGGGGGGGGGGGGGTTCTTAAGCAACTTGTAGATACAGGGGATAAAGGGTCTAAACCCTGAACCCGAATCCCTACTTCCCTAATTCCAGACGAAGAACTAGCATGCTTGGTTGCTGTGAAACTTGAACCCCCACAGGGGTCAAGGTTTGTGGGCTTCCAGCATGCCCAGTAGTACCCGAATTCCGTTTCGGGTTAAGGGTTTAGGGTACAGGGCCTAGGGTGTAGTTTGGGGTTCAGGGTTCAGGGTTTAGGGCAGGGCCTGGTTTAGGGTTTAGTGTTTAGGGTCTACATTTGTTTTAGGATATTTGCTGACGCCCCTGGGGCATCCTAAGCGCTAGACCCTAACCTCAAACCAACCCTGAACTCCTATACAACCCTGTGACCAAAAGAAGTGCTACGGTTGATGATATAAACCCTGCATGACCCATAATGAATAAGGAATATACCACAATTCCCAGAATTTGGGGTCCTTAGGTAATGCTGAACCCTAAACCCTCAACCCGAAACCCTAATTGGGAAGTAAGGACATGGGGGGTTGCACCACCGACGTGAACGTCATGACCATCGAAGATGGCATCTTCGAGCAGCGCATTCTGCATTTTTACAGGCTTAAGGGCGTAGGGTTTAGGGTTTAAGGTTTAGGGTTTAGGGTTTAGGGTTTAGGGTTTGGGCTGTTCCCCCCTTATGCTAACAGTCCTTAATAGTGAATATAGTCCCCCCCCTATTATGTTCCTATGACAATCCATATTGAGGACTGTAAGTATTTGGGGTTTTGAATTGAGGTTTTAGGGCTCAAGCGGCTGAAAGGTTTACGAGTTTGGAAGTGAAGTTGCTTGAGAACTAGCCACGAAACCGCGCGCCCAAAATGGGTTTAAAACATGTTCCGGGCCCTGCTGAGGCATGCATCGTGCAGTAGTCTATTCCTTTTCGTTTCGGTTCTCAGAAGCATCAAACATCTTCAACAACTTCAAAGGTCGACACCGATCCAACAGATGTCGCAGGAACAGAGGTCCGGGACACGGACTCGGCACAGATGTCTCATAGGTGTCGACTAATTCAATTACCAAGTTAAGAAATGCAATACTGTGAAAAAAGGCTGTCAAGAAGAAAACAACCGAGGCGCCACCATCCGCACATAGGTATGACACCTGTCCGGGGTGCATAAACTCAAAAAAATCGAAATACTCAAACCATTAACTCAAGAACTTCGACAACTTCAACGGACGACACCGGTCAAACAGCTATTAATTTTCGTTATGGTATGACTTTTAATAAACTGCCAGAAGCCTTCTCGCCAAATAAAACCCGTTCAAGACATCTCGTATGCATTTTTTTATTGCATCCACTACTATATTTACAGGGCTTTTCTGCTAGAAAGAACCCGATTTGAAACATTTAATTTTTAATTAGGACGGTGTATTGCAGAGCAACTATTGGTCATCTACTCCCCGGAAGACATTTGAGGCAGAGAAGCTGCTGTAAGAGATGATGTCCGCGTGGTCGTGTTGTCCTGTGGCTGGCAGTTGTCCATTCGGATCGCATCTGCTTGTACTGCACACCCTTGGCTCAGAAAAGAACAGCCTCTGCGCCCAGCATGGCGAATTTTCTCCGGGGAATGAGGAGCCACAGGCGCAGTCTTCATGACCTCTGACAAGTCTTTGACTCGCATTATACATGACGACTGCAGGTCGAGAAAAGTCAACGTACTCCTCTTTTGGATGAACACGAAGAAACGGCCCTTCCGTGTTGAGCGGTGGAAGGCCTCAACACGTGTGTCTTCCAGTTCTAGAGTAAACACATTTAACATCTAGTAACAAGCATCAGGTATACAACAGCACGCTCCTCGCTGACTTTATCGAGCATGTTGACCACGAGAACCAGCGTGTTTTTTCGTGGTTCCCAATGGGTCGAGGAGTCATAGGCCGGGCGCTGTCTGAAATTTCACCACGTCAGCTTTTGTTCATGAAAGAATGAACAGGACCCCATTCCCGAGTACGCGACTTCAAGACAAAGCGCTTCATGCTGTGTGGTCCATGCCTTACACATGTCATGTGCCTCCTTCATAATCATTCTTTTAAAGCATGCCTATGACTAAGGACCGGGGCGAATCTTCCGCTGAGCTGCTGCAGGCGTTGCGCGGCGAGGCAAAAAAAAGCCGAGCGAACTGCGTGTGCTTTCAAGCAAGCTGTAGCCGGAGCCCTAAAGTTACACATCGTTCTCCAGATTACATAAATCGCATCTTCCTTCCAAAATTTGCTGAGTCAGGATTTACAGTCGAGGGCTCCCTTTCTCTCTCTTTCTCTCTTTTTCTCTCTCTCTCTCTCTCTCTCTCTCTCTCTTTCTCCCTTGCTCTCTTTTTCTCTTTTTCTTTTTCTCTCCTTCTTTCTTTCTTTCTCTCTTTCTCTCTGTCTCTCTTTCTCTTTTTCTCTCTTTCTCTCTTTCTCTCTTTCTCTCTTTCTCTCTTGCTCTCTTTCTCTCTTTCTCTCTTTCTCTCTTTCTCTCTTTCTCTCTTTCTCTCTTTCTCTCTTTCTCTCTTTCTCTCTTTCTCTCTTTCTTTTTTTCTCTCTTTGTCGCGTAACCCTGCGCAAGTAGGGGGGTAAGGATGAGACTGGTAGCTGGTCGCGATGGAGTTTGTCAGCTTTTTGGCACAGGGCACCCTAAACCCCAAACCCCGAACCCCAAACCCCAAACCCTAAACCCTAAACCCTAAAACCCAAACCCACCCTTTCTGGTCTTAGTAGAAAGTTCCTCAAGTGCTGCCCAGTTGCAGGGCACACTTCTGGGTATGTACTGGAAGATCCTTGTAGTTGGGTTCCCTTTTTGGACCCAGAGAAAGTGCCCTAGTTCCAGAATGCCCGACGAAGCGACCAGCAAATTGCGGGGTCTTTATGCAGTAGCCCCGCCTCACGGCGGAACGGTTTAGGGTTTAGGGTTCAGGGTTTAGGTTTAGGATTTACAGGGTTTAGGGGCCTGTGAGACCCTCAGCCCGAAAGCCCTAACCGACCCCGCCCATCCGAGGATCAAGTCCACGGCAGGCTCTGGCCGCCTGGGTGGTGAGGACCCTTTTTATGCCCTAAACCCTTAACCCTAAACCCGAAACCGGTACGTTCCGCAATATCTCGGGGCCGTGTGCTGGGTGTCCCTTTGACATGGGTTTCAGCCCTAAACCCTCAAACCAAATCCCTACCAAACCCGTTTGAAGCACTTTGGGGCAAGCAGAGGGGTGGACGTGGCTTGCTGGTTCTGACTAGCTACTTACTTCTCCAACAGCTGAACTTTAAACTTTTTGGGTTTCCTTATTTAGTAGGAATAATAAAGTTTAACCTTTTTTCCCCTTGGCTATTGGAGAAGTAAGGCTAGGGGAGCCACCTGAAGATACTTTCTACAGCCGGGCGAAAGGGAATTGGGAGCCTGAGGAGCCAACTTATGGTTTAGGGTTTAGGGTTTAGGGTTTAGGGTTTAGGGTTTAGGGTTTAGGGTTTAGGGTTTAGGGTTAGGGTTTAGGGTTTAGGGTTTAAGGTATGTTCCTGAAGTAATGGTGTATTCAACTTCTGATTTAAGTTTTTCACTTCAATAAAGGCAGTTTTAAGGGTTCTTTTCATGGGTTTCCCTGCTACCCCCTTCCTAGGTACCCCCCTGAACTAGCCTTATTAGGCTTAACTATCCCTAAGCCCTCAACCCTAAACGCTAAGCCTTAATTGTTGGCGGCTGCCCATGATCTTTGGGTAGCCCGAGGACCTGGATGCACGCCTGCTAGCGCCTTCGGCTGGACGTAACAGTGGGAGAGCGGAGGTCTTGAAAGATATAGGGTTTGTTTTGGGGGTTTGGGGTTTAGGGTTTAGGGTCCAGGGCCCTGGGTCTGCCCCAAACCCCAAACCACCCATGAGATTCGAGGAACACTGCCTGGCACAAGTGTCTCACGAGCACCTGGGAAGCCCAGTGGCACATTTTTTGCCCTTTTGTTGCGTTCCTATAATTATAGGTTCGGGTACCTTTATAAAGATTGCCCTAAACCCTAAACCTTAGAACCTTAGAACCCTAAACCCTAAACCCTAAACCCTAAACCCTAAACCCTAAACCCTAAACCCTAAACCCTAAACCCTAAACCCTAAACCCTAAACCCTAAACCCTAAACCCCAATCAGAATATGCCTACTTCGCCTTGCTTAAGGCACCCGGACGTGGACCTTCGCACGCGACCGAGACCGCTCCGACGGCTGCAGACGGCGTGCGAGCGCGCGAAGCGCACGGGGCTCAGGGGAGCTGATTCTCGCAGGGCGTAGGGAGGTTTGGGTTTTGTGTTTTAGGTTTAGGGTTTAGGGTTTAGGGTTTAGGGTTTGGGGTTTGGGGTTTGGGGTTTAGGGTTTCGGGCACTTCCTTACTTGTGAGGTATTGACGAGCAAGCTGAGCATTTCCTACTTGCTTTGTGAGCTACTTCGAAGTTGTCTTGTTTGATGCCTCAAATTTGCTCCCCCTGCCTTCACCCTAAGCCCGAACCCGAAACCCTGAACCCCAAAGTTTAGGGTTTGAAACCCTAAACCCCTAAACCCCTAAACCCCTAAAACCTAAACCCTAAACCCTATAACTGTACTTATAACCCTACTTATAATACCCCTAAAGGGCCTTATAGGGTTTATCCCACTTATAAGTAGGGTTAGAAGCCCAGTTATAAGTGGTTAGTAAGTACCATGAACCTCCAAGTAACCCTAAACCCTAAACCCTAAACCCTAAACCCTAAACCCTAAACCCTAAACCCTAAACCCTAAACCCTAAACCCTAAACCCTAAACCCTAAACCCTAAACCCTATCAGAGCGATCCTTCCTCTCAGGCACTCTGAGCCACAGCTACCAGGCCCAGATCGACCTCGAGGCGTTGATCGAAGCTGGGCTTCGGTTTTTGAACGAGGGAACCAACTGGGGGGTTCAGGGTTCAGGGTTCAGGGTTTAGGGTTTAGGGTTTAGGGTTTAGGGTTTAGGGTTTAGGGTTTAGGGTTTAGGGAACATTGTTTTGTTTTCTAGGATTGCCCTTAAAACCCACTGAAAGATATTCCTAAGTATGATCCTCTTAAACCCAAAAGGGAAAGTATGAATTATGAGTTATCCCAAGGACGTACCCTAAACCCTAAACCCTAAACCCTAAACCCTAAACCCTAAACCCTAAACCCTAAACCCTAAACCTTAAACCCTAAACCCTAAACCGTAAACCCTAAACCCTAAACCCTAAACCCTAAACCCTAAACCCTAAACCCTAAACCCTAAACCCTAAACCCTAAACCCTAGCCCTAGCCCTAAACCCTAAACCCTAACCCAAAACCCAGAGCTGCTTAGGATGAACACGACTTCTCCTGCGTGGTCACACGCGCGCGCTTCGAGGAGCTGGTGAAGGAGCACCCTAAACCCTAAACCCTAAACCCTAAACCCCAAACCCTAAACCCTAAACCCCAAACCCCAAACCCCAAACCCCAAACCCCCCTCCCTTACGAAACCTGTGAAGGAGCACTTGCAGCACTTGCTGCGGCTGATCCAAGAGGCTCTGAAGGATGGCGGCCCGTTTGAACGGTGAGGGTTGATTAGGGTTTAGGGTTTAGGGTTTAGGGTTTAGGGTTTAGGGTTTAGGGTTTAGGGTTCAGGGTTCAGGGTTCAGGGTTCAGGGTTCAGGGTTCAGAGGTTCGTCACCGTAGGCACGCCTGGTTCGTCGGCATGGGCACGCCTGGGAGTTTAAGGCTTACATATGTATATATATATATATGCATATATATATATATACATATATATATATACATATATATAGGTAGGAGGGGTTTAGGGTTAGGGTTTAGGCTGCAGGGTTGAGGGTTTAAGCCAACATCCAGCTTGAAGGTTTGCAGCATGCAGGGGGGGGCAGTGAGTCCCAGCTTGGGAAACCGCAGACCAGAGCCCACAGCAGTTCCCCGACAATTGCCATGATGTTCTGACAGTGCGATGATGAGCCGTTACTACGGTTTGGGGTTTAGGGTTTAGGGTTTCGGGTTTCGGGTTTAGGGTTTAGGGTTTAGGGTTTAGGGTTACATGTGAAAGAAGTCTGACCTTGTGCTGCTTCCCCACACACGCGCACCATGCCCAGGTGGTGTCCCCAAGGAGGGCATTGACGAGGCGCAGCCCTAAAACCCCAAACCCTAAACCCTAAACCCCAAACCCCAAACCCTAAACCCCAAACCTTAGACCCCAAACCCTAAACCCTAAACCCCAAACCCTAAACCCTAAACCCTAAACCCCAAACCCTAAACCCTAAACCCTGAACCCGCACGTCCCGAACGACCAGGTGGTCCTCGTTGGAGGCTGCGCCCGCATTCCCAAGCTGCAGGAGCGCCAAATGGGTTTAGGGTTTAGGGTTTAGGGTTTAGGGTTTAGGGTTTAGGGTTTAGGGTTTAGGGTTTAGGGTTTAGGGTTTAGGGTTTAGGGTTTAGGTTAGGGTTTAGGGTTTAGGGTTTAGGGTTTAGGGTTTAGGGTTTAGGGTTTAGGGTTTAGGGTTTAGGGTTTAGGGTTTAGGGTTTAGGGTTTAGGGTTTAGGGTTTAGGGTTTAGGGTTTAGGGTTTAGGGTTTAGGGCTTAGGGTTTGGGGTTTGGGGTTAGGGTTTAGGGTAAAAAAGCACCTGAAACCTTCAACGGTCCTAGAGTCCCAAACCCGAGTCCCGAAACCCTAAGACCCTAAAATCCGAACGAAACCCGAAAGCCCTAAGCCCCTAAACCCTAAACAGCCCTAAACCCGAAACCCTAAACCCTAAACCCGAAACCCTAAACCCTAAACCTTAAACCCTAAACCCCCTCGAAGAGCCCTGGAAGCACCAAGCGCCGGCAAGCGAAGTAAGGGCACGCGCTCGCGCAGGAGATGGTGAAGTCGTTCTTTGGCAAGGCCTGGGTTCTCCTTCCATTTCGGGTTTAGGGTTTAGGGTTTAGGGTTTAGGGTTTCGGGTTTCAGGTTTTTGGGGTTTGGGGTTTCGGGTTTTAGGGCCTAGTGGTTTGGGGTTCGGTCAGACTTGCGTTTTCGGGCTTGTTTTCTTGGGGGGTCACCTTCTAGGACCTCTTGGCCCTTACCTGGGCTTTGGAGTACTATACTTTGATTTTAACCCTAAACCCTAAACCCTAAACCCTAAACCCTAAACCCTAAACCCTAAACCCATTATAGCTACATGTGCCCCTAAAAGTATATACTTTAATATTTTTGTTCTGGGTTCCCATCATAGCTACTTGTGCCGAAAAAGTTACTTTTTTTCCCGGGTCTACTCCAGAGGTTTAGGCCTCTTGGTCTTAGCAACCTCTTTCAACAAATCAGGGTACCGTGTGTTTGTTGCTAGGTTTTTCTGGGACCTAGGGTTCAGAGTTGAGGGTTCGGGGTGGGGTGGGGGGGTTAGGGTTTAGGGTTCAGGATTTGGTAGTGGCCTGTCATTGGTTTTTTGGGCCCTACACTCTACACCCGAGCCCTAAACTAAACCTCCACTCCCAACGTTCACATCCCGAGCACCTGAAATTCGGCAACCCTTCCACTGAACCCTGAACCCTGACCCCAAACCCTAAACCCTAAACCCTAAACCTTGAAGGAGCCCAAAATCAGCTCGGAAGCCAGCCACGACGTGGCCAAGGGCGCAGCTATTCAGGTGCCGCGCCTTGGGTTGGCTTGGGGGAGGTGGAGGTTTAGGTTCGCTCAACCGGGTACGAGGCACAGACTCTGGTGTTTCGCAAGTACTGCAACTTTCAGGATCATTGGGCAACAGTTTCGATAGCTTGGTCTTGCAGAAGTTGGTAGGAAGTGTTTGAGTGTGCTTGATTCACGCTTTCTGGGTTTGCACGTGCCTTGCTCAGAGCTGGATGTTCCTAAACCCTAAACCCTAAACCCTAAACCCTAATCCCTAAACCCTAAACCCTAAACCGCTTGCCCTCATGGAGGGGGGCGGGCCAAGTTGAAAAAACTACAGGATTGTTGGGGATGCTACGACCCTACACTTGGGATGTTCTCCCTTCTACTAACCCCCCCCCCAGATTTTCCCTATGAAGGACTGTTAGTATAATCGGGAACATCCCAGCCCTACAGAATGAATGTTTCAAAAAGAGCGGCTGTACCGGACACGACAGGGTACCGGCTTCCCTTAGAAGAGCCTTCTAACATGCTTATCTTGAAGCCTTGGACTGTTCACAAGAACCCTCATATAAGCAGGAAGTACGCAACTGTATCTGGTAAGATAAGCTTCCAATTCTCACGACGCAAGCTGAGAGCCTGCTTCCACAAGTGCAGTTTCGTTGTTTCTCAGTTAGGGTCCCTTCAGGACGTTTGGGTTTAGAATGTTTAGGCACCATAACATGGAACCCCTCCCCCCTCCCGAGGTCTTGACGGCAAAGCTGATATGAGGGGGATTCCGAAATCTGTAGGGGTATTTCCCAAAATAGGGGTGCCCCATTTATACCCCGAATGGAATAGAATCCCCGTAATGGGACCCCCCAAAAGGGTACCCTTTAATTGCGAGCCCCCCTAAGTTCGTTCACCCTAAACCCGAAACCCTAAACCCTAAACCCTAAACCCTAAACCCTAAACCCTAAACCCTAAACCCCAAACCCTAAACCCTGAACCCTCCCCTGTTTCGGAAAAGCCCACATGTAGGCAGCTGTGCTCTGTGGCTACTCCGGCCCAGTCCAAGACCTTCTGCTGCTTCTCGGGTGCTGTCAGGATTCCGGAGATTTCGTTCTGCGTCCTCCTTGCAGTCATGCAGTTGGGTTTAGGGTTTGGGGTTTAGGGTTTAAGGTTTTAGGGTTTAGGGTTGATGGCAGAATTGGGCCCCTACAAAACTCACATTCCATCTGCATCAGGGTCCCTAACTAGGTAGGCCCTTGGGCTATTTCGGTTTTTCCCTTGTTGGGTTGAGGAGGATCCTATTTCGGAACATTTGTCCGAGGAGTTTAAGGGCCATCCCAGCTAGGATGTCCGACAAAACCTACCAGCTACATCCTACACCCTAAACCCCTAAACCCTAAACCCTAAACCCTAAACCCTATCTACACCAGGCCCCTAATAAGCCTGAACCCCGAGCGTGTCTCGACTGATTTCATGCGTGCGCCCGGGCCCGAAGCTCTCGTCGGGAATGCTTTACCACTTTACCCTCTTTAGGGTTTAGGGTTTAGGGTTTAAGGTTTAGGGTTTAGGGTTTAAGGTTTAGGGTTTAGGGTTAGGGTTTACTTTGCACAGCTTCAAACAGAGCTGGCAGGTGTAAAGGTTATCGGCGACATCTTGGTTCCTCAGGGTTCAGGGTCTAGTGCTTAGGCCCAGGTTGGAGCAAGTTGTGACACAAACGAGATGCAAATCCTTAAGCCTAAACCCTAAACCCTAAACCCTGCTAGGCAGATGCTAGTGCATTGCATCCTCAACTTACACTGTGAAGTATCGACATGACCTTCCCGCGTATCCTTCGCTAGCTTCTCTTTGGGTACCGTCATCATGTGCTTCATCCCACTATTGTACCCTAAACCCTAAGCCCTAAACCCTAAACCCTAAACCCTAAACCCTAAACCCTAAGCCCTAAGCCCTAAACCCTAAACCCTAAGCCCTAAACCCAAAAATGCTTTGCAGCAGCTGCGCTGGGTGTTCTTCATGTGGGTCTTGATGGCAATCTGCAGCATTGTGGTATCTGCTGAAGACGAGAGCTGCTGGGAGGATGGCTTCTTACCTAGCCAATACTAGACCAGTGTTAGATGGGCTTTCTTATATATGAACAAAAAGGATCCTTTTGTCTTCCTAGGGGAACAGGGATTAAGAGTAGCTGAGCTTTAACTTTCTGGGTTTCTACCTTAGTGGGAATAGTAAAGGTGGACCTTTTTTTCCCCAGTTAATTAGTGGAGAAGTAGGGTTTAGAGCCAGGCTCTTCGGGCTTTTTAAACGTTGAACGTTCCTAAACCCTAACCCCTAAACCCTAAACCCTAACCCTAAACCCTAAACCCTAAACCCTAAACCCTAAACCCTAAACCCTAAACCCTAAACCCTAAACCCGAAGTAAGGTTTGGAGCCAGGCCAGTGCTGCCCCATGACAGAGGCCACGCACGCCTGCTTCGACGAGGTCTTCACACGCACCCGCTGCTGCGAGGCCTCCTCCCCGGTGGTCGCAGGCTGCAGCTGCACCTCGCTACTTAGGGACTCTTGGGAATATTTTTTGTTTATAAACTGTATATATATATATATAACTTTTTAGGTGCTGTAATTCCTAAGGAACAGCTAAAATTGTAACTTTTCTTCAGTACAGGCTATACTTGCGGGAAGCAGCAAGTTTCTTGAAGCAGCTGCCTGGCCCATCCATAGGGCGGGCGGACATAAGCAGCTGGGAGTGGCGATTTCACTCAATGAGCCGGTGCCGCGAGAAAGACTACGCCGAAGCGATTGGGCCGAACGGCTGGCAACGAGAGGACCTGTGCTCACAGCTGGAGATGCTGCATTACCTGGTCTTCTGTGGCTTGCAGACGAGCTGGTGGGAAGAAGAAGGCCCTTTGAGGACGATATTCTGGACAGAAATTATGCGCCTATCCATCAGGTTGCTGCCCTCCACGTGTGAGGGGCTCGTTACGCCGCAGGAAGGCTTCCACAACCATCAGGAGTTCGAGAAGCAGTACTTGTCCGATGCATTTCAGCGTAACATCTCAGACTTGCGCTGGCAGCGAACTGTGCCAGCACCCCAAGTGGCAGGACGGATTATTATACCCAAAAACCCCCCCTAAACAAAGCCCTGCATAGGGTTGATTATGGGGATTCTAAAGCCTATACCCGAAACCCTAAACCCTAAACCCTGAACCCTGAACCCTGAACCCATCCTGGCAGGAAGCTGTCCAGACGAACCAGCTCGGCGCCCAACCATTCACTGTGCGGTGACGGCGCGGCTGCCGGAGGATGGACCATCGATTCTTGGGGATACATTTTTTTGTTTTTCATTTTGGTGTTTAGGGTTTAGGGCTTAGGGTTTAGGGTTTACTATAGTTCCTAAGAAACAGCAAAACTTATAATTTTTGCTAGGGTTCCAAGTTCAGCTGAGGATCAGGGCCATCAAAGCCACTTGGGCCAGAGACTGTGACTCGGTGGCTAGGCAGGCCCTGGAAACATTTTGCATTTTTCCCTTCTGGGGGTTTTAAGAGGATCGTATTTGTATAGGCATATGTTTTCCCTTTTTAGGGTTGAAGAGGATCGTATTTAGGCATATTTTGTCCGAGAGCTAAACCCTAAACCCTAAACCCTAAACCCTAAACCCTAAACCCTAAACCCTAAACCCTATTAAGTTAGGTGGAAGTTTATGTCGCGTCGGCGGAGCGAGTTGCACAGTCTTGGACAAGGTTCGGGCTCCCGGTCGCTGGGTGGGACTTTACTACAACTTTAGCACTTTATGAGTTTAGGGGGGTTTAGGGTGTAGGGTTTAAGGTTTAGGGTTTAGGGTTTAGGGTTTAGGGTTTAGGGTTTAGGGCTATTTTCATATCAAGGGAGCTGAAAAAAGTTAAGCACTTTTATTGGCGGAACTTAAAGAGCAAGAGCCACCAAGGTCCGAAACCTTGCCATGCACTACCGTGTCCTGTATACCCACCCTGACCAAGTCGGTGATGCCCCCTCGGCAAACATGTCTGCGCGCAAGAAGCAGAAGACAACAACGAACCTTGGTGGTGCTTTACTGTAACTTTAGATCTTTGGCCTTTTTGGGTTTATTGGGTTTCTGAATATGGCAGGTAAAAGTTTAGTTTTCTTACTACCCTCCTAAGTGCAGCCAAGGAACCTCATTCGCAAGGCGCTGGCCATGTGGCACTGGGTTGGAACGAACCTGCCCCCATCCGACTTTGTCTGCCGCTTTGATCCAGACACGCTGTTTCTTGCCGACCGTCTCAGGCGCTACGTGCGTGAGCACTGCCTCACAAACACTTCCATGGTCTACTTGGGCCACTTAGTAGTAGAGTAGGTAACCTTTAACCTTTTTGGGGATAATATATATATATATATACTCCCCAAAGAATCCCAAAGGTCCTAAACCCTAAACCCTAAACCCTACACCCTAAACCCTAAACCCTAAACCCTAAACCCTAAACCCTAAACCCTAAACCCTAAACCCTAAACCCTAAACCCTAAACCCTAAACCCTAAACCCTAAACCCTAGCTACTGGACAGCTGAGGCCAAGTGCAGCAAACGATGAAGGTTTGGGTTGGTGACTTTCCGGATGGTGGCGCTGGAATTTGCCTGCCATGGAGAGCAGCACAGGTGGGGGTTTAGGGTTTAGGGTTTAGGGTTTAGGGTTTAGGGTTTAGGGTTTAGGGTTTAGGGTTTAGGGTTTAGGGTTTATATACACACCCAGGTATTTGCCGCAATGTTAGAGGACAGGGTGAACAAGTTTGCTGAGGCTTGGTAGCCCACTGGTACCATCTACTTTTTTTGGTTCAAGGTTCCCTTATAAAGTAACCAACCAAAACAAGGGTACCCTTACTGTAAGAAGGTTGCTGGGCTACCAAGGAGGGTATCGAGCAGGGGCCTGGCTTGCCAGAAGGATGTCGCATGGTACCCGGCCATTTGGACGACGTGATAACTGGGTTTTGCTTTCAGGAGATGGACTTGCTCCCGCACCATGGGCTGGTGTCTTCACTGGGACAGACGCGTTTCAACAACGAGCCCCTGCCGCGGCTGACGGGCGATGGAAGGATTGAGCACTGCACAGGCACCTTCGCCGACTGGCTTAAGCAGGGCCGACTGCCTGATTTGTTCCAATGCTCGTCGAAGCTTTCCGGCTGTAGCTCGATCGCGCCCTGGTGTTGGGTGAACGAGACCGAAGCCATATCCTTCCACGGCTATAAGAACGCCTCAGAGCTGCTGGATGCTTACCGCTACCTCGTTGCCGCGGGATGATCTCGCTTTCAATCGAAGATGCCCTTGCTCTACAGCAGCTGCAGATGACAACAGGTGTTAGGGCTTAGGGTTTCATTCCCCGCCTGCATATCCTCTAAAGCCTGACCTGAACGGCAAGGAGTCAGGGGTTTAGGGTTTAGGGTTGAGGGTTTAGGGTTTAGGGTTGAGGGTTGAGGGTTTAGGGTTTAGGGTTTAGGGGAAGACCCAGACATGTCTAGGGAGCCGCAAGATGATGCGCTGGGAGGCTTTCGGGCGTAGGGTTTAGGGTTTAGGGTTTAGGGTTTAGGGTTTAGGGTTTAGGGTTTAGGGTTCGGGTTTAGGGTTTAGGGTTTAGAGTTTCGTTTTTTAGGACTTTTTAGGTTTTGCAGGCTTAAGAGGGTATAGGCTTTAGGGTTAGGCTGCGCTGGGTGTGCCCCACATAAGAGACGGCCGTGTCAAAGAATGTCAGTTCCAGACATCGAGTGAAGGATGAGTTCTTCGCATCTTTCGTTTGCCTTTTTTAGGCGTTTAAGGTTTAGAGTTTAGGGTTTGGCTTAGGGCTTAGGGCTTAGGGCTTAGGGCTTAGGGCTTAGGGCTTAGGGCTTAGGGCCTGGGGCTGAGGGCTTAGGGCTTAGGGCAAAGGGTTTAGGGTTTAGGGTTTAGGGTCTAGGGTCTAGGGTCTAGGGTCTAGGGTCTAGGGTCTAGGGTCTAGGGTCTAGGGTCTAGGGTTTAGGGTTTAGGGTTTAGGGTTTAGGGTTTAGGGTTTAGGGTTTGGAGAGGCACATGTGCACAAAATTGGGGGTGCGCTCTGCGGACAGCATCTTAGGGAACAAGTAGTGTTCAGGGTTTAGGGCTTAGGCTTTAGGCTTTAGGCTTTTGGCTTTAGGGTTTAGGTTTTAGGGATTAGGGTTTAGGGTTTAGGGCACAGCATGCACCTGCATCACATGCTTCTATCTGCTTGCTTAGCTCCTCAACACCGGGTCCCGGAGCTTGAGTCCAGAATTTTTTGAGGGTTCTTCAAGGAGGGGGTTCAAGGGGGTTCAGGGGGGTTCAGGGGGGGTTAGGGGGGTTTAGGGTTTAGGGTTAAGGGTTTAGGGTTTAGGGTTTATGTTTTAGGGTTTAGGGTTCAGGGTTTAGGGTTTAGGGTTTCGGGTTTAGGGGGTTCAAGACGGGAAGGTACCTAACCCAAAGGCTCCCTAGTACGCCCTACTACTCCCTAGGGCTCCCTAAGACCCTAAAGTTCCCACCCCCCATGAACCTCGCCCTTGGGAACCCTATAAAGAGTTGTGGGTTTAGGGTTTAGGGTTTAGGGTTTAGGGTTGTGGAGCTCGGATGAGGTAACCTCTAAACCCGAATGCGCCTTCGCAGAATCTCCGTTATGCTCCCCGACCAGAAGCGGAAGGAGCCAAACCAAGACATCCCCCGTCCAACGCATCAATGAGCCCTCAACAACATCACCTTGTCCTGAAACCCAAACCCCAAACCCCAAACCCCACACCCCACACCCCACACCCCACACCTGAAACCCTGAACCCTGAAACCCTGAACCCTGAACCCTAAACCCTAGGCCCTACTCCACCTCCACCTCCCAAAAAAACTGACAAAAAATGACAAAAAAACACCAGAGGTAAAACCAACCAAATTTAACTTCAAACCAGGCGATATTATTCTCTAAATTTAATATATATATATATATACACAACAAAAATGTGTATGGAAGCCGTTGAAAAAGCTGGTATTAATGGTCTCATTACTGGCAACCCTATTCCCGAAACCCTAAACCCTAAACCCTAAACCCTAAACCCTAATAATTAAACCTTAAACCCCAACCCTAAACCCTACACCTAAACCCTAAACCCTAAACCCTAAACCCTAAACCCTAAACCCTAAACCTAGACCCCTTGCTTTCGGCTTGGGGCGGGGGGGGGGGGGGGAGGTTGGATGCCAGGCAGTGCCCTTATTCCCCCTCTTTTTGGTGGGATCCCTAAACACAAGAAGGGGCACCTCAGGATTTCACAGGGTTTAGGGTTTGGGGTTTTTGGGTGTAGGGTTTAGGGTTTAGGGTTTTTTGGGTGGTAGTGTTCTAGGGTGTTTGGTTTAGGGCGTTTTGGGAGCCGAAGTTGCATGTGAGGTTGCTTTGTGGTACTTTACTGTAACTTTCGATCCTTACCTTTTTTGGGTTTATTGGGCTTCTTATTAAGGCAGTTAAAAGTTTAATTTATAGCTACCCTCCTGAGTGCAGCCAAGGTTGGATGTCACACCCCTGTCTATCGGCTACGAGTCTGCCAATGGAGCCATGTCCCGGATGATCGCAGCTTGGATGGGGTTAAGGTCTGTGGGGCTTATGGGGTTTATAGGGTTTGGTAGGGTTTGGTAGGGTTTGGTAGGGTTTGGTAGGGTTTGGTAGGGTTTGGTAGGGTTTGGTAGGGTTTATAGGGTTTGGTAGGGTGTGGTAGGGTTTATAGGGTTTGGTGGGGTTTGGTAGGGTTTATAGGGTTTGGTAGGGTTTGGTAGGGTTTGGTAGGGTTTGGTAGGGTTTGGTAGGGTTTGGTAGGGTTTGGTAGGGTTTGGTAGGGTTTGGTAGGGTTTAGAGGGTTTAGAGGGTTTAGAGGGTTTAGAGGGTTCACAGGGTTTCGAGGGTTTAGAGGCTTTTCCTGTCTCTAAGCCGCAAAGCGTGTTTCTTCCCTAAAGCGGTAAACCTTGGGCCCTAATCTAAAGCTGGATGGTCCCTTACCCTTGTTGATATAGGGATCCAAAGTAGGGACCCTTATATTATAAAACCACAATATGGTATATATATATATACATATATCGTGTATATAAAGGTTGTATATCAAGGGACCGAAATTAAGGGCCCCCCATACTTCGGATTCCCTACCTAGTTTGCAGCTGACAATACAAGCTGAGAAGCCTAAGGAACCCTGCAAAGGCCCTGAAGTTTGGGGACTCCTAGACCAGGCACACCACTTCCGTTTACGTGATTCAGCACCCTACAAACATATGGGTCAGTTCTCTAAATTAGGGTCCCTGTTTGGGCACCGTAAATACGAGAGCCCGCCTTTTTCAATCGGACCCCCAAAAGGGACCGTATTGTAGAGAAGTGCTTGGAGGTTCATGGGACTTAACAACCACTTCTAACTGGGCTTATAACCTTACTTATAATAGGGCTAACGCCCTTTAGGGGTATTATAAGTGGGGTTATACGTACCGTTACAAATTGGTTAGTAAGTACCATGAACCTTCAAGTGACCTTCTATTCGCCCATCTTAGAACCAGATGCTGCTGCCAAAGGCTGCCCTAAACCCTAAACCTTAAACCCTAAACCCTAAACCCTAAACCCCAAACCCACGGCCCTCCAAACCTTGGACCAAAAGTCATCTTGAATCCTTCTCCCAAAGCCCGAAGCCAAATTTTATTTCCTCAGTCCCGCATACTCCAAACCCTAAACCCTAAACCCTAAACCCCAAACCCGAAACCCTAAACCCTAACCCCTCAACCCGGGGGTCAGGAGCGCAACACCACCATCCCGACCCGTGCGGCCATGACCCTCACCACCCATGCAGACAACCAGCAGCGGCTTGGACCCCAAGAGTTTAGCTTTAGGGTTTAGGATTTAGGGTTTAGGGTTTGGGGTTTGGGGTTTGGGGTTTATAGTTCAGGGTTTCGTGTAGGTTTTAGGGTTTATGTAGGGATTACATGGCGTTTATACAGGACTGACATAAACGGGGGGTTTATACAGGATTTAGGCTCGGACTGCTAAACCCTAAACCTGCCGTGTAGATCCGTATCTTGCTTTGGAAGTTGTGGGATTGGAGCTTTAAGGTTTAGGGTTCCGACCCAACCAGCCCAAGGAGGTGGGGGGGAGGAGGAGTACGGGGGGAGGGGGAGGGAGGAGTGGGCTACCAGGAGATTCTTTACCCAGTTCCTGGTTTCGGCTACTGTCGTGTGCCCCAGAGCCCTGAACCCTCAAAGCCCTGGAACCTTGGAACCCGAAAACCCTGAACCCTAGACCCTAAACCCTAACCTAAACCCTAAACCCTAAACCCTAAACCCTAAACCCCAAACCCCAAACCCCAAACCCCAAACCCTAAACCCTAAACCCTAAACCCTAAACCCTAAACCCTAAACCCTAAACCCTAGACCCTAGACCCTAGACCCTAGACCCTAGACCCTAAACCCTAAACCCTAAACCCTAAACCCTAAACCGTACCGATTGGAACCCGGAAGCACCGCAACTGACATGGAACAATGTCTCCGCGAGGAGCGTGAAGCTTCGGATCTTTGAGGGCGAGCGGGTCTCTTGCCAAGCATCCCCGGCGCGATTGGATTTTGGGTTTAGGATTGAGCGTTTAGGTTTAGGGTTTGGGATTTAGGGTTTAGGGTTTGGTCTTTAGTCTTTAGGGTTTCGTTGTTGGAGTCTTTTCATGCCGCATCATGTCGCATGTTAAGCTTTGATATGGGCATTCCCAAAAAAGGGGTATCCCTGTACACCCCAAATAGACTATAATTCCCTTAAAGGGACCTCCAAACCCTAAACCCTATTATAAATCCTGGACCCTACAGCCCCAAGGCAAGGTACCCTATTTTCGGAGGTGGCCTGGAAGTGATACGGTAGCCAAGTTCTCTGCTGTTAGAGTCCCAAACCTGTGAGTTCTGGACCTGAATTCCGAGTGCGCAAGCCGAATTCCGAAACCTCCTGCCGAAACCCTAAACCCTAAACCCTAAACCCTAAACCCTCTGGAAGGACAACAACTTCTTGGGGGAGGTAGTGCTCGATGGCCTCCCGCCAGCCCCACGCGGCGTGCCGCAAATAAAGGCGCGAAGTGTTTCGGATGTGGGATCCATGCCTGGGACTAGGGTTTAGGGTTTAGGGTTTAGGGTTTAGGGTTTAGGGTTTAGGGTTTAGGGTTTAGGGCCTCTTTACCTACAGTTTAATAGGTTATACCTGCTAATGAATGGGGCAGTTACTACTAAATTGTAGGTATATAAGGTCTTTCGCTGTAAGTTTTCAAAGAGTCCCC